AATATGTATACTGCATCGGAAAACGAGGATCTTCTTTTTTGAATTAGAGAGCTGGTCCACCCTCACCGCAAACTAGTGTCCAACCTTGCAAGACAGCGGTAAAAAGCATGTGGCTACTGAATCTTCCCCCACGCCCTTTCACCACAATGGCGACCACCATCGACATGTGTCATCATCACTACGAGCTTATTTAGGAACGATCTGCCAGCAGAATCGTTCCCATCCCCTTGCCTCCACCATGGAGGTGCTAAGGATGGCGACACCAGACCACCAAACACTGCTCGCGATTAGCCATGGTTGAGCATCATGGCGACATCTAGCCACACAACAACATAACTCCAAAGACTAGCACAAGGCCGACAATCGACAATAAGGCCCAAACTAACAATACCGCGCCTACTATGTACAAGAACGTCCCAAACTTCGTTCCATCCCCACTCCAGACGGCACTGCCACCGGAGTAGGGGGAAGGAGGAGCCGAGGAGAAGGAGAGAGGGGAGGGGATGAGAGCTCAATGCAACATGCATTTGCAACCAACAAATAGCTAGATGGCCTAGTATGTCTTCCTCGCGGGAAGGCGTCTTCTCCCTTGCCTTTCACACAGAGTCACAGACCGCACCGCGCCACCCGTCCACCCCGTTCCACTCTCCCTCACCGCGCCGCCGATGAGCTCCCCCTCCGACTCCGGCCACCTACCAGCCCCCGCTCCTCTGCCGCATCACCCTCTCCCCCCTCCGCCCTACCACAAGCCACTCACGGAGCCTCCCCGCCAAAACCTAAATCCCCAATCGCCACCCCCGCGCCGCCGCCGCCGCCGCCAAATGCCTTGACCGCAGCATCCTGCAGCTCCCCCGCGGAAACCACCAGCACCTCGAAGGCCGCGTCCGCCCGGCCGGAGGACCGCCATAGCCCGCCCTCTGGCGCCGTTATTGCGGCCGCGGCCACCTCGGCCTGACCGGAGGACTGCACACTGTGGATGGACATGGAGTTCGAGACGGAGCTGCAGGCATACGACCTATACCACCTCTATGCCTTCAAGCTCGGCTTCAACGTCCGCCGACGCTAAACCAACCGCAATAAGAACACCGACGAGGTCACCTCCTGCAAGTTCCCCTGCTCCCGCGAGGGATTCAAGGACCACAAGCCCACCGCCGCAACCGCCAAGCTCCCCCATGCCGCGGCCAGGCTCTCCTGCGCCGTCGCCGCCGCAACACACGAGAATGTGTGCATATCTTGTGGTTTTGCTGAGAGGGTGCAGGATACTTGTGGTTTATCTCAAAAAGCGACTGGATTAGTGCTTGCAGAACAACATTTTACACGTTCAATATCAGTTTTTGTTCTACATGGAGAATGAATACACCCATCTAAATTATTCATGCACTATTTAGAAATGTCCTTTGGAATAACATGAGCAGCCGCTCGTACTGTAACTGACAAAACTTATGAGAAGACGCTGCAAATTACGTAAATACCGGGACATCATAAGAACCAAAGAATTTCAGCAAGCATGACAAATAATTTCTGTGTACAAGCATGACCAACAATTTCTGCAAATCTAACCCATTTGTATACAAGCACTACAAATATTCAAGTCATCGGTATCGGCATGCCTACCATCTAACTCAATCGCAATGACTAACCATCGGTACATTGGGTCGAGCTAAATATTGAAATCATCCTACCAACTCAAACAACAGAAATTACAAGCACCCATGCTTTCGGTTTGAGTTGAAGAAATTGAAGAAGCTAACTCTCTCTTTGGAAAACAATCTGGTGAATTCCATTCTGCACAACATCACCACAAAGGAAGCAAACAACCGTGATGAAAAGCTAATTAACCAGCTGAGAGACGTCGCTGGTGAACAACCTAAGAACCCGATATACACTATATGGTGAAGTATACCTTGGAAAGAAGCCCCACATCGACCGGAAGAAGAGGGGTGTAGGGGCGAGCATCCAAATGAGCTGGGCGCGACTTGGCATCTGAAGAAGGGGGAGCTCGGATGTGGCTTGGGTGAGTTGACGGAGATTGGAGACCAGCTGGGAAAGAAAGAAGTGGGCCTTCCTCACTAAGTTCTTCCACGTTAATTAGAAGACACATGCGATGGTATCCTTGACGTAGTTGTAGAATTTGGACTTGTGTTTGACCATCTGCAGTGTATTTTCGCTGTGCACCACCTCCACACCAGAGATCACAGCGCCCATCTCAGTCGGGTGGCCCGTGTCTTCATCCTCTCCAAACTCGAAGATTTTGGTAATGCAAAACCTCCCGGCTCCCAAGTAGACAAAGCGGCAATCCAGCAACACCCAGTCCTCGGGTAGATCGAGGTCTAGCCAACTGTACAGCAAAGACGGAGGCTTGTCCGGGTGAATAGACGACAGGTCCATTGCGCAAAACTGGTTGGGACTACAACTGCAGATGCCGAACCATAGGTTGCCAAGCTCCGGCACATGCTCAGCACGGTTGAAGAAGGGCAGCGTCCAGCGGCCGGCCTTAAACCACTCGTGGGTTACCGTGTTGAAGCAGCGGGTGCCGACGTCACTTCCTTCGGGAGGTGAGACGAGAAAAATGGGGTCGCCGTCGATGTGAAGCAGCGCATGGCACTTGACCATGGAAAGGACGCGGCTAATCTGCACCCGAGCTCATATGCTCCCGCATGAACAGTAAAATCAAAAAAAAAATCAAAAAAAATCAAAAAATTTCAAAATTTTTTTGAGTGAAACATTGACAAAAATTCTAAGTGCCTGCAAAAATTCGTCATGAAATCACATTCCTAGAAGGCGTGGCAAAAAAAACAAAAAAAATACTCTGAAAAAGCTACTTTCAAACGCATTTTGAAGCACTGAATTTGTTTTTTTGCCACGCCTTCTAGGGATGTGATTTCATGACGAATTTTTGCAGGCACTTAGAACTTTTGTCAATGTTTGTCTCAAAAAAAATTTGGAATTTTTTAAATTTTTTTCGATTTTTTTTCGATTTTACTGTTCATGCGGGAGCATATGAGCTCGGGTGCAGAATGGACTTTTCACCATGGAAACGTCGACATAGGCCATCGGTGGTTGGAGCCAGTGCCAATTCCAGCCTTCCACCTTCATGCAACTGGAAGGGTCGCTGTACTTGAGGACCTCGAAGTTGGAGGGATTGCGACTCACAGGGAACTGCTTCATCACGTACAAGGCATCGGCTTGCTCGGGGTCGAGGGCGTCGGGACTGGTGACGGAGAAGCAGATGGGGTTATCCTCCTTGGAACTGCTTAGGGATGGAACTGGATGGGACCCGCGCGTCGACGTCATGTATGAAGCAGCGACCCGCGCGGCGTCCACGCAGAGGATCTTGCTAGCACCACCGCCGCCTCGTTCGTAGAAGGGCAAGAAATCGAGCTTCGTTCCGTCTGAGATGGATCTCTCGAACCTGAGCGTGGCCGGAGGCATCCGCGGCATGATCTCCATCCATGCGGGCAGCACGGCTGATGATGGCAGCGCCATATGGAATTTCCCTTTTTGCAGTGACGCTGCTGCTGCTCGTGCTTCCGCCGTGGATCCGTAGAAGAGCTGCTCCCCGGCCTTGATGCGACTCATCGTATACCAGCTGCTGCTTCTGCCATACTTTTGCATCACCACATTCACGAATTGCCGCGCCTTCATTTTCAATTCTCCCCGCTCCTACAAAAAAGAGACCACCAGTTTTGATATTGTTCCTACGTTATAAAACACAGTTAGATGATGAATGATACCCTAGTTAGAGAACAACCACTTCAGCAGAAGACGAACGTCGAACGGGGAAGAGCCAATTCCGCTGGCATCGGCGGCGGCGGAATCTAGGTTTTCTTGCCGTCTTGCCCTTTCCTTCTCCACCACCTATCGACGACTGCTGGATAAACCCATGGGCTGTATGGGCCATAGTACAGTGTGGGTGGCGCGCGTCTTTAGCCGGCCTATCACAGGTTTCAGCGTTTCGTACGGTTTCTTGGTTTCCTTCTCTTCACCCTTTTCATGGTCTACTAGCTAATTGTCCTTCGGGGCATAGATATTCTAGTGGTTCAACACCAATCATGTCAGACATATATCTGAACGCCCATTATATTCTGGAATTTGGTTATAATTGATATGATTTGGCAAACGTGAGTATGTGAACTTCCCTTTAATACTAGTGATATCTGGGTTTTTTTTTCCGTTATACTGAATTTTATATTTTTCTATATTTTTAGAAATGAATATTTTTGCCAATACATGTACATATATTCTTACTTTTTTTTAATCTATGGTTTTCTAAAATACATAATTTTTAGTTATGTGATTTTTTTGATACATGAATATTTTTCAAACACGCAGTTGATGCGGTGACTCAAGGCGTTTTTCTGCCTTCCTCGGCGACAACCATCTAAATCGGCTATTCTGATAGTACGAAAGACTTAGGAAAGTTAGGTGTTTTTTATCAAGTACCAAACAACATGCGGGGACACACCTTGTTTGTATGACAGCTGGTCGTAGCCTCAGGTTAGGTTACCAGATGGACACGGGTAACAGGTTTACCCAGGTTCAGGCCATCATGTAGTCAGACTCTAATCTAGTTAGGAATTATGTTGCAAAGAGATTGCAACGATCGAACACAGGGTGTACTCAACTAGTTTGGTGTCAGCACGGGGAAGGTCAAGCCACCGAGGCAGGAACTCCACCGACTTCTAATCTCTCTAATTCAAAGTATAATTTTCATTTTCTTCAATTTAAAGTATGATTTTTCCTTTAAGGCTTGAATAATTTTAATCATGAGTGCAAATTGAAACTTGGAATTGATAACTTAGGCCGACCGGTTCATGTTTGTTATGTTTTCATTCGAGTCGGCAATTGATAAAACCTGTTATACTGTAGAATTATTGTAAAACTGAACATATTGATATGTTCTTTCGATAAATTATATACTAGTGTGCAGAGGAGGAGCTAGACAAAATCTACCAGGGATGATACGTTTTCTTGATAAAGTATATACTAGTATGCAGTGGCGGAGCTAGATGTAATCTATACGGGGAGGGCCAAAGACAAAATATGAGCGTCGCGAGTAGGGGTATTCATAAATAAGTTCAAACCGCGCGGGGGGCATTGGCCCCCTGAGCATTGCCGCCAGCGTTGCCAACCTGATTCGGCCATAGTAAGATCATAGACCTGGTGGCCAAACAGTGGGAATGTGGCATCCTTCACAGGCCTGTTGGCCTCCTCAGCGTTGCCGCCAACGTTGCCAGCCTGATTCGGCCATGTTCGATCGGAGACCTGGTTGCCAAATAGTGGGAACGTCGCGTCCTGAGCAGCCCCGTTGGTCCCGGCTGACGCGTCGCTGCCGTTCAGCCCGGCTGACACGTCGTTCCCACAGTGCGGCACCACTCGCCCCATTGCGATGGGAAACAACATCGCCGTCAGGAAACTAAGCACCAACAGAATGTTGGAATGCATCTTGGCGGGCGAGTGGAGTGAGAGCTAGTTGTTTAGAGCCGAGTGGAGTGTTCGGATGGAGGCGGCGCACGTTATTTATAGCGAGAGCCAGCTGGTTAAGAGCATCTACGGCAGGGCGGGGAAAAAGGAATCTATTGAACCAGGTCTCACAAGACTGGCATCCGCGTGATACGACCATGTGGCAACTTCTTGTATGCCAATGGCCGCTCCAGAATACCTCCGCCGGAGTTGCCGGCTGGGTGGACTTTACTTTCGTCGTGGTCATTCGCCAAGATACCGGTGGCTGGCTGGACTCCTCGTTGATGGCGGCTACGATTCCTTGTTGATGGTGGTCATGCGTCAAGACGTCCTCGCCTGCTACCGGACAAAAACTCCTCCGCGTCGCCGGCCGGGCGCAAGACACATGCAGCTGCTCTTCATGAACATGGTCCTTTCGTGCTGCAAGCCTGCAAGGGCGACAACAGCCGATATCTGAATGACGAGTCTTTGTTGCTGGCTGGGCGTGAGGGAATGCAGCAGCACAGAGCAGTTTGACGCGTCCTAACGCGTGGCTGCCGTAGATGTCTTGGCGCGCGGCCACCATCGACATGTTCTTCTTGCCTTTGGACTTGTATAACCTTCTGATGAAGATTGGTGTAATCAACGGACTATTGTGATAGTTCAACCAGCTTGGATCACTCACGGGAGTGGAAGAGTCCTAGCTAGACGGACATGGCGCGTTCGACCGACCGGGAGTCCGCCGTCATGGACGAGTCCGGCGCAGGGTCGGGCCGGCAAAATCCGAGGCCCTGTGCCAAACTTTAAAATGGGCCCTAACTCACTAGAGAACTACATAAATATAACTATAATAATACAGGGATCATCATATCTTACGTAGCAAATGGGAAATATCAAGAATCATACATACTTTCGGTTGTATAGTCTTTAGTTAAATAACATCATGCTTTTAGTGTTCATTGAAATAAAATCTTCAGTAATACCCTCACAATCAACCTTCTTCAATACTTCACTCTCAAGTTCTATTGTAGAATAGTGCAGAAAACCTCCTAAATATTTCTCCTCATGACTTTTCTTAAATGATGTGTCCCTTTCAGTGCCCTTTGTGCTAAAATATTAATTTGCTTAGAATCGAGGGAATCCCAATTTCTTGGATCAAATATATCAAGATGAACAGAATCACCAACATCTGCAATAGGTGAAGTATTCAAATTACCATCAATACTATTAGCCCCGATGTTATCACTATTTTCTTCACCTCAATATTAATTTATGTCTCGGTCTGGCCATCTCTAGGTCTAGGAGCATTGTCAACATTATTGTCATGTGCATTCTCTTGATCAAGTGACTGATTATCGGAGGACACTTGTGATTTTTTATAACAAACTTTTCCATATCTCCTTTCCGAGACTGAGTTAAAACCTGGAATTCTTGTTTCTTCAAACTGTACAGGTAACCAGATTCATGTCTTTGGTGAAACGAATGAAATTAGCTACTCCCACAAGATTTTAGCAAAACTATGTATAGGCATTAGGGAATCAGAACAACTCACACTCAAGAATCAAGACCAAGGATTCACGGAATCACCGGAGATGATGCAAACTTTCCCTGTCTTCCTGTGCCGGCTGCTGTTCCAGCGTTCCGGAGCTGCCGCGGGCCTGCCTGCCTGCCGATCTGATCTACCGTTTACGTCGCTGGGATACTTGGCCCTAGCCGCCGCACGAAGAAACGAAGGAAGAGACGCTTCGGTCGCTCCTCCTCTCAATCGTAGTATCTTTATTACGGAATCTCAATCGCTGGCTTGGGGCCTGGGGCTGCTGTACGTGAGACGAGGAGGCAGATTTTTTTTTTTTGAGACAAAACGAGGAGGCAGATTTGGAGAAGCCAGAGAGCAGAGGCGGCCCATCAAGTAATGCATAAAAAATCTGAGGCCCCAAACAGCCGGGGGCCCTGTGCGGGCGCACATGTTGCACCCCCACAGGCCCGGGCTCCGGCGTCACATAACAACTAGATGCATCTGGCCGCATGGTCACCATTACACATCTACCGGTGATGAGGTCGTTCGGCATGTCCATGGACGAAAGGTCATCACATCGTGCCACACGGCCATCGGCAGCGAGATGGTTCGGCACGACCATGGATGGGGAGTCGTGGTAGCATGAAGCCACGCA